AAGGGCGCCGGCGTATACTCTGACAGGCCGATTAACAAATAAAGGCAGCGAAAAAAAAATACGAAAGGGTCTATTTTTAGACACTTAGGGAATCCGTTAGGCATGATAGTTGGGAAATGCCACACACGTTCTTCTTTTAAACATCTCATCTTCTAGCAGGGTGACATTAAGTTTCCAAAGTTGCCAATTAAACTTAGGCCTTAACGTTTGCTGCTTCCCCGCCATTGCAGTTACTAGACAATGATCACTGAAAGGAAGCGGTTTGACAGAGCATCCCGTGGTGTATGGGGCAAGGTTTGTAGACACGTAGATCCTGTCTAAACGCGCGTGTACGGACAACTGCTAGCGTGTGAAACTTTATTCCCTTTGCGTATTAAGCATCTGTGCGACGCCTTCTCATTCGTTACCATCCAATATTGTTTGCAAAACTGCGTGCTCCTGTCGCTAAGCAGATCATCTGACGACCTATTTTGAGGCCTACTTACACAGTTAAAATCGCTTAAGAAAACAACGCATCTGTCACAGTTAATGTACTGTTCTACTTGTGGAAGTAAGTTTCCCTGCCATTAAATCTATTTGGCGCGTAAACGCACAGCACCCGCCAAAGTTGATTTTTATAGTTTTAAATCACAATTAATAAGTCGCCCTTCACTGACAGTGGCAATTTTCGAATCCGTTAGTGAAATGTTTTCAAAATAAATAAAAAAAAACACCCTGCAGAGTTGCCAGTGGCATGACTCACTGCGCGATTTCATATCTACTCGTTAATGGTTTTAAATCCTCCATTATCTGTTCGTCATCGTCCATTTTGCTTTCCTGAAGGGCAAATACATCTATATTTTTGTCATTTACCATTCTTCGCAAGTGGTACTGTTTTTTTTTTTTTGTTCTTTTTTTTTGGAGGGGGGGGGGGGGCATTTAACCCTTGCACATTTAAAGAAGCACGCCGGAGAAGTACACTAGGTTCAAGCGTGTTTATGAGGTAAAAGCTCTCCGGGCTTACCAATGGAAGGAAAACACCGATCTACAACGCCGCTTTAACCTACGCACATGTCGTGTCGTCCAGTGACTGCCACTCACACCGAGTCCTTACGCCTACAACCACCCATTTGGCTTTGAGTTTCGGACCCGGTACGAAGTGTCTTGGGTCCACTCGCTTGCCGCAGCCACCCATCTCCACAGCCGTCTTCTGGCGAGGCTTGCGGTAGTTCTCGTTGTCGCTTTGCTGCCTGGTTTGCATCGACCTCCTCCATCGCTTTATTTCGCTGTCCGGGGTCTGTTCATCCTCCTCGGCGTTTGTTTCCTTCAATTTCTCCCTAACTTGTGGGAAACACTTGCCGTCCTTTTCGGGTTCTTCCTTCATTTGCTTCTTTCCCTTGGTGTTGTCACGTTGACCTGTCACAGCTGCACTATCTTTTTTCGCTACGAGGTCATCCTCGATCACTTCTTTGACACTTGGTGCCTGAGGCTCCATCTCCCCCGCCGCCGCTTCCGCGTCTGCCTCGTTCATCTGCCAGTCGTTCGCTTCAAGGTATTTTCGATCGTGGGCACCTGATGCATTGGTACGGACACAGTCTGTGCCCTCATGGCCAAACTGATGGCATTCCGTGCATCGCGGGACGCAGCAGCCTCTCCTTATGTGTCATTGCGACGACACCGAAGGCAGAGAGGGGCCCTCCCAGGCACCAAAACGAAAACCTTGCAACATTCGACTCGAATCTCGAGCGGGATGTTGTCCATGCTGATTCCATCTTTGAGCTTCATGCGTACAATTTGAGTGTTCGTCCGGACATTCTCAAAGCACTTTTCGCGGAAGTGGTCTATGTTGATGTCGGCGACCTTGCCAAACCGCTCTAGTTCCTTAAGCACCTGGCAGTTGGGCACGTCGTAAGGAACCAAATGCAACTTGACCCTCATTTCCATGCTGCCTGTTTCGAAAACTAGGCAACGCCCGCGCCAACGTCCACTGCGGTTTTCTTGATTTCTGTAAGGCCTTTGATAAAGTTTCTCACCGGCCATTCCTATTAAAATTGATCCGAACGTGCTACGCTGGGTAGAATCGTTTTTAACCAACCGTTCTCAATTTGTGCATGCCTCCCCCCCCCCCCTCCAACCCCCCCAATGGTACTAACTCTTCACTTTCTCCCGTAGCTTCTTGAGTTCCCCAGGATTCTGTTTTAGGTCCGCTACTTTTCCTAATCTATATGAATGACCTGTCTTAATGTATCTCATCTAATATTAATTTATTTGCTGCTGATTGTGCACTATATAAAGAAATAAAAACTAACTACGACATCTCTGTTCTCCAATCTGATTTCTGTATCTAACTGGTGCGACAAGTTGTTGATGTAACTCACCCTAATAAATTTAAATACATGAGAGTTTCCCATCTTACTAACATATGCTCGAATTACAATATTGCCGACGCTCCGCTGCAGTTTGTGTCATCATACAAATACTTGGGTATTTGCATAACTTCTGATATTTTCTGGGAAGCTCACACTAACTACGTAACTAACAACGACAGTCGCATGCTTGGATATCTCAAACAATATTTCTAAGTGACCAGTGTCACTAAAACTTCTCTTATATAATACCTTGGTACGTACAGGTCCCGTCAAAGTAAAACGGAGCGCCGGATCGGCGACCGAACTGCGTCGCCTCGCTATCTAGCCGCGCCGACAGGAACTGATAGGCCACATCAGCGCATGCGAACGTGCCTTCTGCTAGGGCCTCCGTTTTCTTCTTACCACCCACACGTTATCGGTGGTTCGAGCGGCGCAACGCTTTTCCTAAAATCGACGCCTGATAGCACAAGGAGCGGTGCTCATCGACAACACTCGCTCTCTTTTCCACTTGCCTTCAGTGTTACCTCCCCGTGCGAGCCCGAGCCGAACACCTAGCGGTGTTTATCGGAACATCGTTTGGCAGCTCGAGACGCCGATAATGCGAGGATCAAACAAGAAAGACGGAGGACACCGCGAACGGCGCGCGCGCATGCGCAGACGGCACCTATCAGTTGCAGCCGGCGCTGCTAGATAGCGCGGCGATGCAGTCCGGTCGCTGCTCCGGCGCTCCGTTTTACTTTGACGGGACCTGTACTAAACTTAAATATGCATGCTTTATCTGGGACCCCAGTCACAAAACTATCATTGCAACATTGGAATCAGTTCAAAATCGTGCAGTACGTTTTATACTCTGCAAATATCATCGTACATCCAGCGTTACTTCAATGAAAAATAGGCTTGGCTTACCAACACTAATGAACCGTAGGCGCATATTCCGCCTTACTTTATTTCATAACATTTACCATATTAACGTTTTCACGCGCCGGGGACTTCTAACTCAACCAACGTAAGTTTCATCCCGCGTAGATTACCAGTAGAAAGTCGGCATCCCCAATTACAAAACTAACACCTGCTATAACTCCCTTGTTCCTCGCACTAGCTCTGATTGGAATCGCCTTTCCGTTGACATAGCCTCCATAACCAGTATTATTGATTTTAAAAATGCCTTGTTTTGTTTTTTGTTTTTGATGAACATTTTTCTAGTTGGTTATAACATCGTATAAAATATTTCTAAAGTGTCTGAGTAAGCCTGCATTAATTACTGTATTTATTTCATTGTATCAACAACTGTGCCTTTCTCACCTCCCCCCCCCCCCCTTCCTCTCTGTAATGCCCTCGGGGCCTTGAGGGTAAATAAATAAATAAACAAATAAATAGTTTCTTGGCCTTCACCAAACATTGCGTCGCTGACGGAGAGTATAGCCGCAACATCCCCACATGGTTCCATTGGTAGGCGCCTTCCGATGCCAGCTCTTGAAGCATACACAGTCTTTCCATCTCCTGTTTAAAGTCTTGAATACGATAGGGGCGGTTTCTTACGTCGCAGTGCAGTAATACTGTATTCGTCGCGAGGTATCCTGTTAGCAGAGGAGGTAAAATAATCTTAAAATCAGAGGACGCTTTAGAAACAGATACCGCGACCAAACGTGGCCGTTGCTGCCGCTCCTTCGGAGCCCGTCATCGCACGCCCGTTCACCCCGATGGCCGGATGTCGACTCCCGACACCCCGGCGGCTCTGCGGTTCTGCGTATCTAAATGTGTGCCTAGTGTGTGCATCATTGCACACGTCACGTCGCAGACATCTGGCTGACTATAGGTGTGGCCGAGTGCGTACGTCATTGGGCACGGGACGGCGCAGCCAATGGAGAGGAGGTGGTGGTACGTCATGAGTGTATAAAATAGGCGGGTTGCTTCCCGCGCGTCAAAGGTGACATACTCGGCCACTGGCCAAGCAACACTTCCTTTGATTTCCTGCATATCTCAATGCTCTCACTCACTCCGCACGTCACTTGCTCTTCGGATTTTCATCGGTGCTGTCTTTGCATTAAAGTTGATCGAAAACGTCATTCCAATATATCTCACAAAAGGGACTACAACGCTTTCGCATTCCCACAGGTATCTCTGCCGAATAGTTTTCTATCTCATTTTCTCCCGACGAATGGGATGGCCAGACGAGAGCTCTGCGTGTCAAGAAGCTCGGAGGTTATTACAAGCCTAAAGTGACGCAACCTCAAGTCACCTGCACTTCTGTGCTTTGTATGCTGAGTGTCGAACTACTGCTAGAATTTGTTGTCCTACTGAAAAAAATGCATATAATTTTCATACGGGTTGACCTGTTTGGGTCATACGATGTTATGGGCATACGGGGCTCGTATGCAAACAGGTCGTTCTATATGTGAACGGGTCGCAAACAGGAGCACCCGACCAGATACGGGTCGATCTGTTGTGCGGGTCAACCGGTTATGCGGGTCGACCCGTTATGCAGGTCCACCCGTGATGCAGGGCCACCCGTGCAATTTCCATTCGAAAAAAAGGTAAGCTGGCGACCCGCGGTCTGCCTTTCGTATTCCGAGGCTCTCCACTAAAATGAAATCCGAACCACCTTCCTGAAAAGAGCATGCAAAGTAACTAAAACAAGGACTCAAAAGCAGGTACAGTTGACGAAACAGATATATTACGTGCATGACAAAAGCAAATAACCCAGCACCGTCATCACATCTGCAGAAAAACTGAGTCAGTTCCCAGAAGTAGCTTAAAACTGCAGCTCCCTATCGATATCTTGAAGTTACTCCGCGATATACTTGTTAATGAGGCCCTCCCGTATCCAGGCGATACATCAAAGGGTGCTTGCCCGATGTACATGTCGAAGGCATCTGAAAATGAAAAAAAAAAAAAATCTATATGCACTGCTGTCAAATCAAACTCGTGTTTATCAAACTCGGAAAGACCCGTCTACCAGTTCGATCTAGCGAGTAATTCTATATAAAACATTTAATGAATTTGACAACGAACAAGCACGCCACATTTAGAAACGTTTACTCTCGAAGGAGCGTCTGTAGGTCATAAGGGACGCTCCATGCGGCTCTTCAGAGGCCGCTTCTAGGCTTTTTAAGGTCTCACCCTCTTTCTACGCAAAAGAGATTTTTCTTTTTCTTCCAAACAAATAAAGCGGTTGCCAAAAAAAAAAAAAAAGAAAACTGCATTCTTTGCAAGTTGGCTTTCCCCCAATGATAGCTCGCATTGGGGAAAGCCAGCTTGCAGAGCAGTTCGATCTATCGCTGCAATTTTCGTTCAATGTAACCACATTTTTCACTCTGCATTTTTATTGCAGCTACTAGTCTGTTCACAAATAGTTCGATACAAGGGATATTTCGAATTAACCGGGTTCAATATAATTGGGTTTCACTGTAGCCCTAGAAAAAGCACATCACAATCACATGTTAATTTTTTTTTTATATTGTACGTATTAAGATGCAACTGTGAACAATTAGCAAGGATCTATTGGTCTATCAACCAGAAATAGGTCAGCCAAAATATTCACCACCTCAAATCTGAAAACCTTCTAAACGACAACTTTGTTTCGAAATTGGCACAGCTAGCCGGCTCTGGGCTATACTACGTTCACCCTAAACTCAGTGCCTTTCGCCGAACCAATCAAAGTCCTGTCTCTGATTGCTTGACTTCACTCACTGCATGTGAGTCTGCAGGAGGTGAGGGGGTTGATCATGTGGTTTGAAATTGACAGTTGACTGGACCAACGAGCATGCAGCTTCTACGGCCCAGTCAGCGTAGTGGTGAATGGAGTAATGGCGACTTTTGAAATCAACGGCACCTCGTGGCTAGGACACAAAACTATTAGGGGGGGGGGGGGGGTGGTACACAAAACTGTCGGGGCGGGTTCGTTTTACAGTATACATAAACTAAGCAAAAATTCACAGCATCTGGCGGTCTAAACGGAGAGCCGTAAAAGTAGGTTCGAAAGCGCCTCATGAAAATTGACAATAACTGTGGCCCACCTCCAGGTTGACCACATAATATGGTGACAGAGCTGATCTATCCCAACATTTCAAGAACATTAGTCCTTACTGAATATAGTAAGTCAAGGCACGTAAGTTTAGGCACATGCCTATCAGGTACGTACCCAGGATTTCGGTTCGGGGGGAGGGGCGCCCATGACAAACTGCTGTATGAAAGGGAGGGGCAAGAGGAGGCCCCAGCAAAGTGTAAGATTTTTTTGGGGGGGGGCGGGCCTCATAAGCCCACCCTGGCTATGTGCCTGATCCCTATAAATGCTTGAATCTATTACTTCAATGTTTGCTCGCCTTATTCGGAGTTTTATTTCGAAATTGCCATTTAACCTGCATCATGCCAATGTCTGTGAAGTTGGCACTTTTATTTACTTTCCCAGGATTCCCCCAGCTCTTTTTTTTTACATTATTGAATACCTAAAGACACTAAAATTTGTTTGTTGTTATGCACAAAAACAAACAGCGGATATAAATGATGATCGCTTTTGCCGCTTGTTTTATTAGGTCTTCCTTAAATTAACAGAAGGGCTGTATAATACTTTTCGGAATAGATAGGAGAACAAGATCTGTCATGACATCTGTAAAGTTTAAACATGATTGGGGCAAACAGGAGAACACTGCCGCAGAAAGACGGGAAAGAATTGCTTTATAGAGCCTGTCACAGTACTTAAGAGCTGAGCTAGCCGTGAATTAAGCATTAAAAAAGTGAGAAATCATAAGTGTCAAAAATTATAAGCTCTTTTGCGCTCCTGCAATGAAGGGCCCAGAGGAACGAAGATTTAAACCTTATTTGATGTCTAAGTCGAAGTCCATTTGGCCTTGTGCTAACATGAAGGAAACCTTAAGAGCGGCTTGGTGCAGGCGATGGGTTGCAGTCTGAAGATGTGTTCTCAACCAGTGGAATTTTTCTCTTTTACAATGCATGAAACGTTAGTTTACCATGCTTCTTTAAGAACTGCTGCTTCTTGACATCAGGTGCTATTGCGGCCGGTATGAACTGAAACGGCACGTGTGGCGCTATCAGCGCCGCCTGGCACATTGCTCCGTAAACACTGGCACCAACCGACGCAAAGACAATCTCCTCGTGTGCTCGTGCCACAGTGCGCTTCCGGCTGTATGGTAGCGAGACGGCGTGTTCGGTATTGGGTGCAAAGGTAACAAGGGTCACACTTGTCATTCTCTATAAATATGAACCAAGATCTGAGTGTGAGCCATTTATCGCAAACTGATTGTTGCACAAATCGAGGATCTGCACATAAGTACCGCAGAGCTTGTTTTTGATTAAAGTTTGCGAACGGTTTCATGCATAACTCTTGCCATTCGAGAGAACCAAGAATCGCGCTGTAAAACCCAGGGCTACGGGTTTCTCTCGCTGCCCACACTGCCTGTCGTCATATGGGATGAGCACTATACCGGCAGGCCGCGCGTCACTGCTGTGTGATGACTGTTAAAGCATTCCCCAGCTAAATGTCTCATTTACAATGCAGCAGCAGAAATACCGGTGCTGAGGGCGTGTTGGTGAATGCTCCAGCAAGACCTAATCGTGCAGCTGTTTGCAAAAGAAAGTCAAATTCACTCAAGTAAAAAGCAAGTTCGTAAATAACAATTTAGTTGGTCCTTTCAGTGGCAAAGATGCAGAGGCCAATTATCTAAAAAGGTGGCTTTCACAAGTGTCTATAGACATTGGGTTGCATGGTGCACCCATCGTGACGAGGAATGGAACGTCGTAACGAGCACAGGAGTGAATGGGTCTCGGCCTCAGCGTGCACAAGTGTTTTCCCAGTGATACGACAAACAACACAAATAGTCCCGAGCACAAGGTGTCATGGCGTTTCAGCTCATATTCACGGTAATAGTACCCAATATTCCTCGGTAACCACGGCCTATTGTGGCTCCGTGGAGAAAATTGATAAGTGTAGCTGTAAACAAAGCTACGTCTTTGACGACAGCCAAAGCGATCTTCTGTAAACGGAGGCAAAACGACCAACTAAATTTCTGCATGTTGACAACAAACATGAGGATGTTGGAAACAATTGAAAATGATTTACCTGAGTTGTTGGATATGTACAAACACAGGGTGTCTAGCAAATTATTATTTTTTACTTCCGACTTTTCCAGGTTTTCCCTGTCAATTTCAGGCGAAATTCCCTGACCACTGTATAGGCGGTTAAATATAAAAGACCATTACAGCACAAGGAGTTGAGCACAGTGAGGATCATTTTGCACGGGCTTAATCCAACTTGCATATTCCGAAATATTCGGGTCCGTCCAGTCCAAATTAGACCAGCACTTTCTCGCACCCAACATCGTCAGTGAAGAGGCCACTACCGGAAACACGATGAAAACGCAACGCTCAACCACACACGTTCATAACCGAATGGCAGCACGGCCGCCAGATGCACACTTTCGGATATTGTATGGGGGCCTGCGGCTTTTTTATTTGTTACTATATCTAGTAGCCCTAACTGGTCTAGCCTAGTGTCGCCCCCTCAATCCAATCCAAGTTTTGTAATGGATTTGTCGGCTTTTTCCTTTGCATCGGGTAGCACACCCTACATCGGGTGAGCAGAGCCCGCGCTCCGCTATATAAGCAGAATTAATTGCCTATTTTTCTGCCCCCAATTTCTCAAGCCTTTGCTCAGGGCGCTCAATGGTGTCTCCGGCTCTTTTTCCCTGACTGGGGTCGCTTTTTGTCAATATCCCTGACAATTCCCTGATTTTTCCCGGTAACTAAACTTTCCCTGACAATTCCCGGTTTTCCCAACACCCTGAAACATCACCTTACCCTTCAATGAGCAGAGCGATTCCTTATGGTGTCAAGTATTGCAACACTCTGTACAGATGTCCATGATTAGGAGATTCTTCCGTCAGGCCTGACATTATCATAAGGAATGGTGCCTTTCTTCACATGCAAGCAACCTCAAAGTGGCCAACATGAAGTCATATTGATGGCTGCAAGTAAATGGCAGAGTTTGGCGTGTTGGGAGCAAAGAGAAACGACTTACTGCCCACGGCTGCCAGCTTGTCAGGAGTCAGTACCCTCTTCGAGCTGCTCACTTCAGCCACCTGCAGGGCTGCACCGTCACGCATTCGGCGCTGCAGGTTTACAGCATGAAAAACCGCTTTCGCTGCCCCTTTGCAGGAGATTGAATCTTGAGCTGCATTCAATCCACACAATCAAGGAGATTTAATGCTACAAATATCTTTTTGGGGCAGTTGGACCATCATAGATGGGTGAGTAAAAATTTCAATAATAAGTCCTCAGCGGAAAAACAAACGGTATGAATTTTATTACGGTAACATTCAAACTGGATTATCAAACCACGAATCTTACTGTAAAGTATGCATACCATGGAGGCTTGACAAAATTAAAGATAGTCTCGTTATTAGCCTAGGGATTATTTTCTGGATACAGGATTGTATAAACTGAGCGACATGCAAAAACTGCACTTTCTTAACCAGTTGCAATCATGCGGAGGACACTGTCCAAGGATATCAAAGGCATTGTGTACAGACCTCTATTTTCAAATAAGCCCCGATATTGTCACGAATGACAAATGATGAGGCGGCAAATAAGTGAGGAACTAAACGTTTAATGGGGCGAACTTGCGCTCAAAACAAAATAAAAGAAGCTTAGAGTCGCAGGCTTCGATGTCAGTGAAACAGCACTATCAAACGCAGGGGCTAGACTAACTCAGGCTCGCCACGCGGAGCCTCTTATGTAGACGCTTGGGCTTCTGGAACAATAGGCGTAGAACATCCTAACCTCAAATAAGCGACAGGGTTCGCAAATTTACCAGAGTGTGGCATTACAGAAACCACAAAAGGGTGTACCAGTGGCCAGGCATCAAACCTCGGTCATTCGTGTGGGAGACAAGCACGGTAACCGTTAGGACACACGAGCACAGCCAACTAGGCCAGCTGCGTGCGCGGTAATAGTTCCCAGTTTTCATAACCCGTATGGGTTTTATGGAACTCAGGTTAATCCCAATTTTATTCTAAAAGCCTGCCTACCTGAAAACCAATGGTGCGGTAAACACACCAGATGGCTAATTCCTTGATGCGTTTGTGTTAGTTTCCTAAGTGGCGTTAAAGTGCCAGCACACAAGGACTGTGCAGCATTTGGAAGCAAATGGCAGTGTAGCTTTGAAATCAGAGGCACTTGGAAGTGAGTGGCAGCACAGCACTCACTTGTGGCATGCACCTCCCGCGTTCACACAATTAAGGCCGAACCACATGCAAGGGATTTAGCGAGCGACGCTTCAAGCGATGGAAATTTTCTACTGTCGCTCTTTACGCCGCGTGGTTTTTGGATTTCAAGAAAACGTCGCTTATCACCTTGATCGCTTGCTCCCGTCGCTTTCATGCGGTTTGCCTCGTTGCGCGGATGACCGAGTGATAACGAAAAGGGTCGCTATCACTTGTCTCGTCGCTCGCTTTATGGTTGTTGGAGTTTGCGAAAATGGGAAGCGTGGATTTTATTAAGGGCTTTGTCCTTGCCGACTCTCAGACTTTTGGGAAACCTTTGGGTTACAGTCAGGGTTGTAAAGTACCTAGGTACAAGTAACTGTAAATCGGTAACTAGGTACTTTTGTTGTACCTGAGGTACAAACCTAGGTACTTTCATTTCTCAGTATCTGTATCTGTATCTTAGGTACATTTTCCAGTAACTTGTAACTAAGTGAAGTTACTTTTTACAGGTACTTTTTTATTCACTTCGTCAAAATCGTAGAAAATACAATATAACATATAACTGAAAATAAATTATAATTACAGTCTTAAAGCAATTTAACATCACGTAGTGTTTCCACGCAATAAATCGAACTCAAATTTTGCACTTTACAAAACTGAAAATACCTATGTCTGAAGAAACTCCCTCCTGGTTTCTAAAATACCCCCTACAAATACCACTTCCAGAGTCACAGTTATAATTACGTACGGGAAATAGTATTGGGAGACCTTTGTAAATGTTCATTTCACATAATTAAGCACAACAAAACTGGCAGGCTTCGTTGTCAAAAATTATTGCAGCAGTAGAAGGATACAAACATCAAGGGCAGATAATCGAAGCACTCGTACTCTGGCCGAACGGAGGCTTCGAGCTCCTGATGTAGTCTGCCACTGATGGCTGGGCTGCTGTTATTCTATGTTGTGGAGGCCCTGTGCTACATTCGGGTCTTTCCTTGGGTGCCGCGGCTTTCCGTTTTACCCCGTCGACATTCGTCTTGCTCTTGTCGACACTCTTTAGTGCTTCCTTGTGAGACCTCTTGAGAAAGTAAAGCATGGCTAGTTAATACTTATTGCACCGTATCAGAACAGCTCAGCGGCGCAGGACACTAATCCAACTAGGTTTCAGCATTAGCACTTGAGACGAAAACGATATTTCTGCCAGACGCCAAAGATAATCAACAGCGGCGGAAAATTCCGGACGTGCGGGCATTAAAAAGGGAAACATTGGTTGCTTCCAGTAAAACTAAAATGAAGACGATATCTAAATGACCAATGACAAGGCAGCTTACAGATAATTGTTGTGGGTCGGTTCATTTTCTCGGAAGCCTAGTTTACCTAGCGCACCCGGACATCTTTGTAACGACTTCTTACCATCGCTCCAGACGCCGTGAAAAATGGACTTGCACCGTAATTTTGCATAAGTATGACCAAACCTTTCGTTGTTACCCATTCCTGACGAAGACCAGACTCCGGTTGAAACGTCGAAAATAAAGTTTCCGTTGTTCTACCGATGGACCTCTACTTCGTCATATATAATATATAGGTGAAGTCAGAGTGGTGAATGGGTCGAAACACGTCGAAAACGAAGAGTGAGTTGACGCAGGGACAGGCTTTAAACAACGGTTTCGAGGGGGTTCTGCAAAGTTCTAAGTCCCAGTTATCGAACATCCGCAGTTGAGAACAACGACAAATCAGTAGCAGGCGTATTGTACGCACGAAAAGTTGCTACCCTGACGTGCGACGCAGCGTCAATCTCTTGGCCGACTGACGGACGTAAACGCACATAGTACGGAGCATAACAAACCTTACACAGTGATGGAAGTGCCATTTGACCTTTTGGAGCAGGCCTTGTAGCAGGCAAAATATTTTTTGGAGCAGGTAGTGGCCCTTTTGGAGCAGGGTCCGGCATATGTTGGCATATTACTTGAAAATGAAATAATTCCGCATTGCTATATAAAGCCCATCTCTATTATTGGAACACAGCGCCTGTCGCCTTTTTAAGACAGGATATATAAAATTCAACAAATTAAACACACAAAAAAAAATTTTTTTTAAATAAAGTTTATCTGCTCGTCAGATAAAAAAATACAATCAAATATGTAACACTGAGTTCTGGTGGTACAGGATGTTTAGTTTTATCAGCCTGCACTTCTTTTCAGGTATCTGCAGCAGCATCTAACGACCCTCATTGTTGTGAAATGTTTTAGTTCAGATTAGAGTTGTTTTTTGGGCAGCAGCTTCTAATATTGCGGTATCTGATATTTGCTTCAAAAATTCCGATTCATTTTCGATGTGCTGGCGAAGTCACGATCGGATCACGTCGAGTTAACCCGTTGAGTGCGCTCCTTGGCATGCACCGGCGCGCTGCAGAGAAGCGACACCCGCGGAGCAGACACCACAGTCGCGCGAGTCGCGCAGTGCTTTGTGCTCCGAAAAGGACGGTGAGGCTTTACCAGCACTACATCCAGAGTTTGGTGTAACTCAACTATACTTTGTTTCAGCTTCGGTGCGAGCGCAGCCGAAGCTACAAGCGCGCGCATGGAGCCCGTAACGGTGCCCACGCTGCACGAGCCCACGCGCGAGTCAGGAATGCACAGAGCATTGGGCTCGCGCTAGCTTTGACTTCGCTGGTAGCTAGCACACGGGAACAGGGCGGGAACAGGGCGGGCCCATTGACACCAATAAAGCATGCTTATCAAACTTGTTTTTGTGTACATCCCAGTATACAAAAGATTTACTTCTAATAATAATGTGACAAATTTGAGAAAAATACTTGGCGTGAAAATAAAAAAGTACCTTTGAAGTAACTGTACCTGTACCTAGGTACATTTTTAAGCGAGTAGCTAGATACGTACCTAGGTACATTTTCGTATGAGTAACTGTAACTGTATCTTAGGTACATTTTTGAAGTAACTTTTACAACCCTGGTTACAGTGAAATACGACCACATGATTTCTCACTTTGCTTAGGAACTGAGGAGGAAAGCTGAGGCGGAAATAGTGGGAAAATCAGTTTATGGTCTCTTGAAGAAAGTTGTTCGGAACATCTTGTTTTCTTTTTAACTACTCAGTGGCGTTTATTTTAACCTACCTTCACAATAAAGTACTGCCAGAGGGCTAACGAATAAGTGCAGCATATACAGGATTTTGCATAAAAAGTCCGTGTGCCAGTCAGAAAAGAATTCTTTATACACTTCGCAAGCAACAGATCAATACAGATACCGCTTCTAAAGGCGCACGGCACGGAACATTTCGAGTAGTTTTCGAGAATGAAAACCAAACTTGAATCTGAAGAACCGCAGTGGAAGCAAACCGGGTGCAAATACTAGCGCTAGCACGTAACGCGTACCTAGCAGTCACAGGTTCCGTAAAACACACCGCCACCCGATTTGTAGAACTCAAGCCTTGTCCACCTATCCACGAGATAAAGCTCCCTGATACACTTAACAAGTCCGCCCTCCCCCTACCCGTGCCTTCGGTGGGACGTTTGCCTCTGGGTGCGTTCCTGCAATCAAACTGCTCGCTCAGTAACCGGTAGGTTCCGGGACTTCCTTGGCAAAAGCTCGAGGGTCATCCAATTCGCAAAGCACGTATGCGACAAGGAGCCACACATGTTCGCTTTCACGCTGCCTCCGCACACAAGACCACGTCATAATCGCGCCGAAAAGAAAGGACTGAAAAAGTAAAACGAATGGACAAGCACTCACCAATTAGACTCATATCCACAGTTGGCTCCATGGGTACGCCGGCACCTGGGACACTTTTTTTTCCAAGAACGGTCTTCGATGAAGTTTGTCACTCGCTTCGTTTTCCAGTTTTGTTACGATAGCGATGGCGATGCGGTGATGTTCGTTGGTTCGACCACAGTGGTCCCGACGAAACTCATTTGGCGCAAAGTGAATGTGCTTGTTATAGTCGACTTTCGTTCCAACTTTCACATGTAAATTTAAAGGGTTTTTACATCTATATAATTATTTGCAATAAAGCATGTTGGAGTGCATTGTGTACTAAACTGAAGCTTGGACGACTTAGCTTCGTTTTATGTAAACATGGCGGCGACCACTGTTGTCCCATGTGCCGTGTCCGACCTATTTGATGTGCATTGGTTGTCCTGTTATCCACCTCCTGCGATTCGCATCAGCCACAAGCATGCTGTCTTAGTATTGTGTGCCCGCCGGAAATAATATTCAGCCTTTTTGGAAGCAAGGTCCCCACTACGGCTGTTTCGACCGTATCTCAGACGTCGTCCGCACCCACGAACCGCGTCCGCTAGCCTCACGTCGTTTGCTTGGCTCCTTTACGCTTCCGGCGACGAATCCCCCAGCCCTGGCCTCATCCCTACAGGACCTGGCTGGGAAAAAACAATCTACGAGAGCGGCGTTTTTGGAATGCGATTACTACGACCACTAGCTTTTAAAATATCAATATTCGACGTGAATGCGTTTTGGTTCTCGTATGACACAAACTTTCGGAACTTGATTTCTAAGTGGTATCGTAGCGGATTCCAATTTCGAACGCGGTTGCGTACACACGTGGAATGGATCGCTCCGCCGTTAGCTCGATGACGGCGGCTCCGAGCCGCGGTGATGCCGTACGCGGCCATGTTCCAAATGACTACGCAGTGATACTGCCTACTCTGCCGACAGGAGAAGCCATGAAATGCAGCCTTTGCTGCACGTTGATACCCGGGGGCGGCCGTACCGTGCTAAAGACTTCGTAGGGCCTCTGAATCAGGTCGGAGTTCGGGAAGACGTAGCAGGACTTGGCGCGTTTCAAATGGGGCACGTCTGGCTGCTGAAGCTGCACACCGCCTCCGCCAAAGAGAAGCTTCTGCGAGAGTGGACCATGCAGTGAAGGGGCGACTATGCCTGGTCATTGATCCATAAAACCGAGAGCTGAAGATTCGATGTATCTGCAGACGCCCTTCGACGGGCCTTCGAGCCATACAGGGAGGTCAAGGGTGTCACCCACGAGAAGTGGAGAATCGAGGGCCTGGCAGACGTGGATTCCACTACCGTCATCGTACGCATGACGCATGGCTCCTGGTTGTTGTCCCCGGACGCCACCGGTGTGCCTCCGCTGTCGACGCACAGGACACACACGGCGCGACTGGAGAGTGCCGAGGTGCGAGGAGTGTCGAGCCTTCGGGCATGAGGCCACGGATTGCGTACGATCGTACGCTTGAGCTGCTGCCAGCAAGACCATCGACAGCCAGGACAAAAACCTCCGAATGGACGAGGAAGAGGCCGAGGCGGCGGCGTCTCCAACCGCGAGAATTTCTTCGCAAGACCCTCAAGCGTCCGGTGAGCAGCAACACGAGCTGTTAGCGATGCCAGACGGCCAGGTATGCGCCGCAACATTGACGGCAGAAGGCACTGTTAGTGAAAATGAGCGTAACGCGAAGAACACCAGTGAGACGACACCGGCAGCAAAGGACGCGACTGACGCACTGGACGCCGGAGATGGTACAGCAATGGACATCGCGACCGAGCCGATCAAGCGGCGGCTCAGCGACACGGAGCAGGGAACCGACCAGACGCTCTAGCAGACCGAGGAACCCCGGTTCGCAGTGACGTGCAAGAGGGGACGACGCGCTGGCCGCAGCCGTTCGTCGTCTCTTCCCAGTTAGGGCGGGAGGTGAGCCCAGCGTACGAGGCCTGAGACTTGCTTTCCGATGGTTTCCCTTGAAAACGCCTTGCGCGTGGCTACGTTGAACGTTCGCGGACTTGCAGCCAGACAACGGAAGCAACAGCTCTACCGGCTGTTCACCTCGACATTGTCGCAGTTCATGAAACCAAAGTCGAGAGCGAGGGCCAGACCGACTATATGGTAGGGCCTTGAGTCATGCTGTTGGTTTCTCGGCTGGCTGCTGCCTGTTCCTCAGAAAATATCTAGGTGCTGTCATGCAAACCGTCACGACCTGCCCATCTGGAAGTTTGTCATGTGTGATTTTTCTGTTATAAGAATTGAATGGCGCGTCATTTGTGTTTATGCACCTAATGAGGCTGAGGAGCGCCGGTTTTTTTTTCCAAAACGTTTGCCAACATTGCTAGTCCGATCGTATTCTGGTTATTTTGGGTGACCTTAATTGTGTCTGCCGAGCTGAAGACAGGTCCAACCGAACGCGCCACAGAGATGCCAGTACCTTAGAATTAGATAATATTATTAAAGATTTTGTTCTGGAAGACATCGCATGTTGTGTGCCTGGGTCAAACCGTATGCCTTTCACGCACTTTCAAGGTGTCAGTCACGCTAGACTGGACCAGGCGTGTATCTCATCGGATCTGGTATATTTATGTCGGATTTATTCTCTAGACTACGTTGCTTTTAGCAATCACTGCCTTGTAACATTCCAGTTAGGTAAAAAGAAAGAGGAGGCCAATTTCTCATGGGAATTCTGGAAAATGAATGCGAAACTTCCAAAGAATGAACCATTTCTTTCCTGTATTGAGACAATCTGGAGTGACGTGCAACTGAAAGGAGGCAGTGCAAGCGAGCGCTGGGAAACATTTAAACAGGAGGTGAAATTAACTGCACTTGAAAGGACATGTCTCCTCAAGTATCGGGAGAAGAGACAAGAATTGGAGCACCGATAAAACTTAGACAAGCTGCTACAGGAAGAATGACGAGCACGTGGAACTTTCATTGAGGATATTAACCACTTGAAAGCCAAACTCCAAAGTCTCGATCGCGACCGATAGAAGGGGGTGGCAATACGGGCTCGTTCAGAGCGTTTCTTGTGGGGAGAGCAGCCGACAAAAAGAATGGTGGCGGCGGAAAAAAAATACGCGCGAGCTAATGATGTAGTTGAAATGGAACATCTTAGGGCTTTGTCTAGCGATAAAACTCATAT